CAAGAGAAAAGTTACGGATGGAAGAAAGTTAACCGAGCCAGGTAGTGTTTTCTAATAGTTTCTTAACTAGTACAATCACATATTCTTCCTTTGCTATAGCTGATCAAACTGCATACATTCTATACAGTTCCTTTCACACCAATCAGAAATTGTTTCCTTGGTGACAGAGTACAAACATTATAATCTTTTCCCCATGTTTTAAGTAAATTACTTTGGCTTCTTAAGATCATCATGGTCTGTTTTCTAGGTGCAGGCTTGTTAGCTATGTGCCTATGTCTATCATTCTCTATATTGATCGGGTAAGGGTGCGGGCACACTGACACGGGTGCAATACAGAAAAATCAAAAATCTTCTAACTAGCGCCGACACGCTAAGTGCAAAAACTTTTGTAGATTACATAAATTTTAAAATTAAAGGACTATTATCAAGCAGTTAATGGGGGGACGATGCACTGCTTAGCTGCTCAAGCCTATATGTCTAACATTGTTAAACGATCTTGATANTAAAGATGATACTTTTGAATAGATTTGGTGATATTCATTCTATTTGTGTGAGCTTTCACTATTTAATCACCTATCTGTAATAAGTTCATCTAATTACTCACTTTCATTTCGTTGACTCCCCTAAAAACTGCATACTAACGAATTTACAAGTCTAAATTTTATAGTTTTAACCTTAAAAACTCAAGTAGTGTTCCCTCTAATTTATAAGTGCAGTCATTTTTGAATTTACATTTAATTTAGAGTAGATGTATCTCACAATTTTCCACACATGATGACTAGTATTACATTTCTTATGACTGTATGCAGAATTCAAATGTTTGTTCAATTTATGCAGGAAAGAAGCTCAATCCGTTCCCACTTTTTGGAAGTGGAGGAGGAAACTCTGTGCCTTCTGGTTCTGCAACTCAAGAGGGAAAGCCAGTTCTTAATGAAGGTATTTAGTATAGTTACTTTATGCACTTTGAATCGTCCATTTGCTTTCAGTAGGTGTTTTGAATTTCATGCATGATTATTCAGTCGTTTTACACAGCTTTCTAGTTTAGATAATTGATTTATTTGCATTAGCAACTCTGAAGGAAAGAAATGGTGCTAAAGATACTAGACGTTTTCTTTTTCCTTCAGTCTTGATGTGAAGTTTGACAATATGTGATATTTTAATGCTGAGCAGAAGGGTGCTTTGATCTGCATTGGTTTCTTCGCAAGAGAAAAGTTACGGATGGAAGAAAGTTAACCGAGCCAGGTAGTGTTTTCTAATAGTTTCTTAACTAGTACAATCACATATTCTTCCTTTGCTATAGCTGATCAAACTGCATACATTCTATACAGTTCCTTTCACACCAATCAGAAATTGTTTCCTTGGTGACAGAGTACAAACATTATAATCTTTTCCCCATGTTTTAAGTAAATTACTTTGGCTTCTTAAGATCATCATGGTCTGTTTTCTAGGTGCAGGCTTGTTAGCTATGTGCCTATGTCTATCATTCTCTACATTGATCGGGTAAGGGTGCGGGCACACTGACACGGGTGCAATACAGAAAAATCAAAAAACTTCTAACTAGCGCCGACACGCTAAGTGCAAAAACTTTTGTAGATTACATAAATTTTAAAATTAAAGGACTATTATCAAGCAGTTAATGGGGGGACGATGCACTGCTTAGCTGCTCAAGCCTATATGTCTAACATTGTTAAACGATCTTGATATTGTTTTTTTCACCTGACCTATGTCACTCCCAATATTCGTGTAACAAGAAAAGATCTTGACCAAGCAAACAATAGTACTGATTTGGGTTCATCTCATAATCCTTTTGAACCATCAGCTGGGCATAACACTCATCCTTTTCCAAATGGAAGACTACCATCAGCCAAAGACGATGCCACTGACGATAAATCCCCAACCCCTAAGAAACCTTCAGGAACTCCTCCAGCAAAAGGACCCACACATCCCGGCAGTATTTTTGATCTTGGAGAGGAAGGTAATGCAATTGAAGAGAAGAATTAATTCTCCTTAATACACAATATTTTCTATCTTTATGGAGAAATTTTTCTGTTTTTGTGTTTGTTGCTCAGCTTTCTCTTTTAGCCAGTTTCTACTTTTGAACACCTTTGTTTGTGTTTACCATGTCCAAGGCCAGTAGTTCTACATGTACTCCTGTACTTCTCGAAAGTACAGTGAGCAGAAAACTTTTCCTTGTATCTCTTTTCTTTCCACTTATCATTGGGAAACTGCAAATTTTGCAGGTGGCTTCATTCCTGGGGCAATGCCATCAAAGAAACCACCAAGTGAAATTAAAGAGAATAAAGGTGATAGTGCATCAGATTTTTCGTATCCACTATGTTTATCTTTTCATCTAGTAGTCGCCCTAATCGGCCAGGGGCGGACGTGATCATATCTTACACCAGTATTTCATGAAAAAGCTTTTCAGCATCTTAGCTGTATTTGAGTGGAATCGAAAATGTTCCAAGTTTTTTCCTATTGCAAAGTATTAGAGCTTAGGTGTTAATGAAATGTTAAAAGTTTGTAGGGAAATATGTTTTGATAAGTGGCTATATAATGCAGGAGATGATTGGCGAATTCCAATGGATGACCCAGGAGCTTCATCATCAACAGCGGATTCCGGCAGTACACAAAGACCATTACCTCCAGTTGAAGTTAAAAAAACCAAATCACTGGAGATTGTAAAATGCATAGTATATGGAGGTTTAATAGAGTCAATTACAAGCTTGGGTGTGATTTCCTCTGCAGCTGCTTCCGATGTTGACACAAGTAAGTAATTGAGACCTTTTTTCTAAGTTTAACTCTTCAATCTTCATTATCTTGGTTGGTTACTCCAATTGTAATCTAGGAGCTCTTTGTGAGAGTAA